CGGGACGGGGCCAGAGGCAGCCCTGGGGCGAGGGAGATGGAGTTCTCCAGCCGAGCGAGGCAGAAGCATGCACGGCTGGTTGGAGACCGGCGGGAGCAGTACCCTCACAGCCTGCAGTTTTATCTGGAGCCCCCGATGGAAAGCATCTCCTTGGTGGAGTTTGAGAGCTTAGCCATTGACCGCCTGAAGCGTGAGTAGCGTTCCTCCCTCCCTCCACCTACCTTCCTCCTCCTCCTCTCCCCCCCGCCCCGTCTTTACCTTCTCCTCCCTCCTGTCTCTTCCTCGATGCTTTGAATCCTTCCTGCCATGGCTGTGTATGTTTCTGTCAGGCCTGGACGCTCTGTTCGCCTGACATAGACGGGAGCTGGGCTGGCTGCCGCTGCTGCCGGGAGCTCCTGTAAAAGCAAAACGCGTTGTTCTGCGTCTTTCGGAGAGCTGAGCCAGATTTCGCTTATTGTAGCTTATTGTCGGGACTGTGTAGTTTTGGTTTACACGGGAGGTTTCTATGAGCACGTTTCGCATTCTATAGATGTTGTGACATATTTGATGTCTCAGTACTACATTTCAAGTCGTTGTGGCTGGCAGCCAGGGGTTCCCCTGAAGTCCTGAAAACTGCTGGATCCAAGTTTCCATTAGAGTTGAAACCACAGTTCTGAGATGGATCCATCGGTGTTATATCTGTCTCTCTTGCCTTGTTGACGATATGGGTTCCAGAATTGGGCCAGCTGTTCAGGACTCACAGGCCACGTTTTATCCTCCATATTTCTTACCCTTCTGCTCCTAATACCACTGAAAGCAATTCCTGTGGTCTTACCCCAGTTTGTGCCATTCCCAAGCTGTCATACATTTAGTTTGATTTCAGCATGTTGTCTCTAACATGGACCTTTTCTTTTTTTGCTCAGTGCTTAAAGTAGTTGAGAATCTCGGTGTGAGCTATGTAAGAAGTAGTGATACATACAAAAGTAAACTGGAGGCTGAGCTCCGGAAACTGAAGTTTCCATACAGAGTAAGTAAAGATCAAAACACTGAACTTTCTTGTAAAATAAGCTCTCTTTATTTTCTTTATGCCATTCAAGAATAACAAATAAAAGCAGAGGTGATGAAATGCTATTTCTAAAACTTCAATTCTGTCATTTTTTTTTTAGAGGTGTAGTTTTTCTTTGAAGGTATACATTACTTTCTTTACAGTAACCCCCTTCCCCTATAGGTTGGCATTTATTGTCTAAAAGATGACTGCAATGAACAGCAATGGTAAATTGATTGTGAATTTTTAATATGCGAGAGATAATTTCTCTGAAATAATTAGAATATGTTCTATAGGCTTTGGCTGAGGATGATTACGAGGCAAGAAGAAAAGATCATATCTCTCATTTCATACTACGCCTTGCCTACTGCCAGTCGTAAGTACTTTTTGGATTGTGCCGTACACTTACTATTAATTCTAAATGTATACAGATACTGCAGTGCTTTATTATAGACATTACAGGTGCTTCAGAGTTGCATGGCTACTAAAGAGAGGCTTTTTTTGCTCAAAAAGGATTTTTTGCTAGGGATCTGATTTCAGCTGTGATGAAAAGGGATATGTGGAATCAATTAATACCTGGATTTTATAATAACTAAAAATTTTACAAAATTTTGGCTTTTAAACACATGCAATTGATTTCAGTCTCTTGATAGCTTTTTTTTTAATGAAAGCATATCAGTATTAACTGTTTGTCAGGCATTTGCAGTGATTCATAACATACTATAACTTCTGTATATGCTATGTTGATAACTGACCAAAGACCCGACTATTTAAACAGGCTTTATACAAGCTCTCTATACAATATAGAGAGCACTGTTTCTGACCAACTAAAAATACCATCTGAGTTTGAGGTTTCATCTACTGCTTCTGTTTTTTGTCCGTATTCATTGCTGTGGCTGCTTGCACTGCAATTTTTTTTGTTATGTGAAATTTCAATCAAAAAGTTGTTCCTGTAAACCACATTCTTTTTGTTTCCCCTGTAGTTTTTGGGTGAAATTAGAGGTTGTCGGTGCTTCATGTCTGCAAGTAGTTTTGTTTTACATTTGTATGAAGTCTCTACTTGGTACCACTGCAGTCTTTTTAGAATTAAAACTGGCAGATATGAAGTGTGTTGAATTGTTAATTCGATAAGCAAGCCACAATACAGTTAATGTTAATTAAGTGACTGTGATAGAATGCATATTATGATACTGTGATAGCTGCCATGACTGAAGTGCTGCTATGGATATAGATTTGTGACCAAAAACAGGGAAGGTGAGTAGTTGGGATTGTGGTCTAACCCAGGATATGGAGCTGGAATGGATGTGGCTTTTCTTTGAAATAGCTTTGGATTTCTGCTGCAGAACATCTGATGAGAGTAGGAAGTAGCAAAGGCCTCAAAAGCTTGCCTTCAGATGGATGAAACCTCACTGGAACAGGCCCTGGGTGACTTTTAAACACCCTGAAATCTTCCAGATCATTCACATCCCATCCTGTTCTTTCAAAAGACATCTGGGCTATGCTGAAGACAGTTTGTCACTGTGTGTGATCAGTGAGACTGGTTCATCCATGATGCATGTACAATGAGGAACAGGTTGTGGATGTGGAGAGCCATACCAGCCTTCACTGCAGTGACTCTGATTGTGTAACTCGAGATCCTGGAAGAAGGGAGCAGATTGAATAATAGAATTGCAACTGAAATCCTTTCTCTATTTTACATACATAATTTATGATTGTGAATAACACGTTTAATATTGTCTTCTTTCTAGTGTCCAGGTTTGTTGTATTTTTATAAACTCCCTTAATCATACTAGTCCTGCATTGTATTGTAAGTTTACCAAAACCCCCTAAAAGGTAGTGTCCTCAAGTAGTCTGGGGTCTAAAAGGCCCCTGAAAGCCTAGTGGTTTGTATTAGCAGCATTTTGAATAATCAGTTTGGCTTAATTCCAAAGCCAACACTTTAAACATTTAGTTATTATTTAGATTATTCAGACCATTACTTTTTTTGTGGGAGATGAGATGCTTTGAGGGTGTTGGGAATTAAAAATTTTGTTTTTGTGGAAGGTAAGAATTTGACTGAAGTTTGTGCTTCATAAATAAATTGGAGATACTGTTCAAACCCTGTGTTTCAGGGAAGTATCTTAAAAATTAGACTATAGGCAGGGCAGAAGTGGGCAGCTTGTTGGAGGTGAACTGCTGTGCACAAATGAATACAAGCTATTGTGGGCCACAGAAGCAGCGGGAAAGGGCCTGGCTTTGTAATCCGGGTGGGGGGGGAAAGACCTCTTTAGAGGGAGGAGGGGTTTTGGATAAAGCTCTGGGATGCCCTTTGGACAGCTTGCAGATGCCATTTTTTGTTCCAAATTTATATGCACTTGCTGCATTTTGATAAAGCAGCTTTTAGTTTCTGCTTGTACTTTCAAAAGGTGGATTTAGTGCTTACTCATAACATGGAAAATAGCATTCTAAGAACTGTGAGGTGAGCCTGTACCCAGTGTTCCCTATTCACTCTTGAAAAGCAACTACTATTTCTACCATCTACAACTGGCAAGTTACCAAAAGATAAAATTGGAAGGCAGAGAGAGTATACTGTACTTCAAGTTTTTATCATACTAGGTCAGAAAAATAAGGCTGCCACAAATCATTAGGTTAATTGAAGAAAGTTGTTAAGGTAGGAGTGATTGAAAAAATGCACTTAAATACACATAACTGCAAACTAGGTTGGATTCAGTTCCTGAGGCAGCTGTGTGTACATGTGTTTACATTTTCCTGGGATAGTGGTTTTCAGTTTTTAGTTGGCCAACAGTGCCATCCAGGGGTAAAAGTTTATATTGATTTCTCTTTTCTAATCTCTTATCAGTCCTCACTTGTAAATTGGATTGTTTTGATTTGGTTTTCATATGATCTGAAGTGGCCAGCTCCACCATTCTGGTCAGTTAAATTTGTAAGGTAGTCATCATCTCTTGACTTTCCTTCTTCTGCCTTCTGAAAGCCAAGACTTTGAAGCCTATTCCAGTTTGATAGGATACTTACAGTCTTGAGAGAACAGTTTCACACCTCTTCTAATGTCAGTTAGATCTGTCAAGACCAGGAAATAGAATAATCTTGTTTCATTTGCTTTCATGGCAGATGCAGATGTAAAGATAATTTTATTTGCATGTGAATGGGGGATTTTGCTTTTGTCTAATGCATCTCTCGTCACTTTAGCAAATCAGCTAAGAAGAACCTTGAAAGTCACAGGAGCGTAATTTTCACTTTACTTTCTTAAGATGGCAGAAATTAATTTTACCTCTGCTCTGACAGCTAAACTCTTCTATTCAGGAAACTTACAAACATACTCTTGTGCCTTTTAAAATTTTTTTTTGTGTTTGATTTGTGTCTGTGTCACATAACAAGGACATAAATTCTATTTCAAACTTAGCAAGGCCTGTTCACTACTCCCTGACATTTCTTTCTATATGATAAATTAGATTTCACTGCTAAAATTGTTGTCTCTTTATGTTGAGTAGCATTTCCTTTTGTGTGTTATCTGTACCCATGTTCCCCTTGCTGTCTAGTCTTTAAAACTGAAACTCTGAGTAATCCATTGGTGTTGGTTGTCTAGTAAAGCAGTGATCTGGCCCATGCCCAGAGTTTTCATAAGTCAGTGGTAAGTTGTTGGAACTCTTGCATTAATTGTGGAATGTTAGCTACTAGTCTTAAATTCCAGATTTACAAGCATCTGCCTTTCCTGAAGTACTTCTTTGTTCATGCTTCTTACAAGTACACTGATTTTTCCTACCCCTCCTTGGTGTGAAGAGTATTTCTATTTCAAACCCAGCCCCTCAAGTACTGTTCCCTATATGAAAGAGACTGTTTTTTAAATATTATTTTTATAATTGGGAATCTATGAACTGGTTTAAACTGTTGGGTAATCTGCACACCAGGAAGTTAAGTGGCAAAAAATGAGGAGATATTCTTAACATATACACTTCAAGGATCTGCAACTCTCAGCTTCAGCAGCAGCTTGGTTAGTTATCTAATGACAGTGATGTTGCTTTTCCATTAAGCTTGGGGTTTTGATAATAAATATTATTACTTTGTATGAGTTTGAGATGAGAGTGTACAATTCTTTCTGTGTGAATAGTGAGTATAAAATATGGTTTAGTTTTAGAAGTGATGTAAATAATGCCCTATTGATGATGATCCTAGGAAAGTCAGTTTAAAAGTATTTGCTGGACATACACAGTAGTGTGAAGTAGCTTGTCAGCTATTTTGTCAGCTGCAGGAAGAATCCACATAGATGTGTGTTTAAGAGAGAAAGTAGTGTTTTCTTGTTATGGTAACTTAAGTGGGTAGGTGGGATGACAGCCTTTGATCTGCTTTCCTGAAGGAAAGGAACAACAGACTGGCTGGCCTCCAAAGCAATTATATATAATTGTGTTTGTGGTTTGTTTGTTTTTTTATGCATGTGTGTGGTGGTGGTGTTCTTTTGTTTGGTTCCCTCCACAGGAAAACAAATGCACTGTAAATCAAGGAAAATGGAAAAAACTGTAACATCCCAGGATTTAACTATAGTCCAGGATGGCCAGAGAACTGCAACAGATCAGTCATTAAAGCATTATTTTAGGTTTCACTGATTATTATTACATCCAAAGCACTGGCACTGTCCACAGGATTATATTTTACAGAGCACCTTAACAGCCCTTCCGTTTGGCTGATTTATGTAATAATTACTTTTCTTCAAGCCATATTTCAAGCAGAGGTTTTGTCCACAAAACCACAAACAACTCTGTTGTGATTCACATGTTCCCTATGGGAAAAGATGCTTAAGTATTGTAAAGAGAACATGTAAGAGTGCAGTATTTCTGTGCTCCATGAATTCCAGTGGTAGTAGTGCCCAGGGTAGTTCTCAAAGGACAGTTCAGGAGAGTGCCCTGTGATAGTGAGATACAGCATTATTTGCATTCTGTGCTTGCACATAAAGGGTTTGTTACTGGCACTCTGGTACCTACTTGCTGTGGCTTTGAGTAACATGCTGAGATGCCTGAGAATCTGAGCACTAGGATGTGAAGAGTTCCATGAGTACTTGGATTGGCTTCAATGTTCTTTTATTTTGTCTTCTGACTCCTGTCCCTGTGTTCCTGTTTGTTCTACTTGTTCAGATGCAGTTGCTAAACCCCTTTTTCTCTTTTGTCAAGAGTTAAATGTTCTGTTTGTGTTCCTCACCCAACTTCATTGTCATATATTTTCCTTTTGCCTGTTTCCAGGCTATTTGTTGCCTAGAATAGAGTGCACTATTGTCACGTTTTCTGAGATGCATGCATATTTCTTCAGCTGAAGATACACCAAAAGTGACAATTAAAAGAAGTAGCCTTCAAAATATATTTGCCTCATCACATTAATTGTGATGTTAATTGTACAACGAAGAAATATTGTGCCATGTTGTAGAAAAAAAATGTCCTTTAAATACCAAGAGAGAATGTTACCTACAACTGAGTATTTTTATCCAAAACAAGTAAAAAGTATTGTCTCTCCATAAGTCTGTTCTGATTGAGTGTGCATTACTGAAGGTTTCCAAGCTTCTCAGTGTGTGTGTCACGTGCCCAAGTCAGCATTACTGTTGTGTTGACTAGGTTTGCAGTCTAGTTCTCAAGCAAAGAAATAATGTATATTCAGAATTTTTTTTTTAAATTATTTTTTTTACAGTGAGGATCTCAGGCGTTGGTTTCTTCAACAAGAAATGGATCTCTTTCGATATCGCTTCAATGAACTAACTGAAAGTTTAATGCAGAAATTCCTGGAACATGTGAACTTATCATTTGAAGCTGTAAGTGTGTTACTTCCTGTATTTATGTCTGTTGTTTTTTACAATTCTAATTAAGATAGTTTTAGCAATTGTGTTTAAAAAAACAGAGAGTGCAGTTACGGTTTATAAAATCCTAATCACAAAGAACTTCTAAACTTGGGGAATAGCGTGCGTGAGGATAAAGTGATGTAATTTTGTGCTACAACAAGAGAAGCTCGGTCTGCTTCAGTCTACAAACACAGCTGAAAAAATGCGTAATTACACAGGTAAGTTAACAAGGTTTACTAAAGCTAAGAAGTATTTTTGAACCAAATTTTTGAGTGGATTTGATCACAGGCCATAAAATGGTTTGGGTTGGAAGGGACCTCAAATATCATCTGACTCCCTGCTGTGGGCAGGGACATTTTCTGGCAGACCAGCTTGTTCAGAGTCCCATCGAACCTTGCCTTGAACACTTCCAGCAATGGGACATCCATGACTCCTCTGGGCAACCAATTCTAGGACATCACTGCCCTCACAGTAAAGAATTTTTTCCTTGTTTAAATTTACTTCTAATCTAAACCTACTCTCCTTCAGTTTGAAGCCATTCCCCCTTTTCCTGTCACCACATGGCCGTTGTGAAAAGTCCCTCTCCATCTTGTAGGTTCCCTTCAAGTGCTGGAGGCTGCAATTAGGTCATCCCAAAGCCTTTCTCTACTGGCTGGTAGTTCACAGTTTTCTCTAAGCTTTTTAAAAATGGGTACAGTGTTTGCCTTTTTCCATTCACCTGGCACTTCTGACTGCCATGACTTTTCAAATATCATGGGGGAGTGGCTTGGCAACTACATCATCCAAGTCTCTCAGGACTCTGGGATGCATCTTACAGGGTCCCTAGTTTGTGTTATTCAGGTAAGAGCATAGTTTGTGTTCTTCAGATGAGGTCTTATCTGGACATCTGGGCCAGATAACACTGATGTTAAAATTACCTTGGTTTCATGGTGAATTGTTTGATGATTCGCCCTAAATGTTTCAGTAATAAGAAAAGCAGTGTCTGTGTTTGATTCTTACATGAATTGTATGTGCAGTCTGTTCTCATCACATTGACTTTAGTTGAAAAATAATGGTGGTCAGAATATGTTTTTATTCATAAACTTTGCTCTAGAATCTTTGCAATCTACTAATTAATTTTAAGATGTGGTTTCTTGCTACAGAAACCTCAGAAAACTACAGTGACCTGGGGACTTTGTATGTTGTTCCATTTGTGAGCACTGACATCTGGAAAACTATGTGCAAAGGAAAAATAAGTGCATTCAGTGACTGCTTATGATAGCTGTTGAGGATGTAGTTAAAATTTAATAATCCAAGTATGAAAATCCTGTATGGATTGCACAAAAGTGTAGCTTTCTGTGTTCCTGTCTCCATGGGGACACAAGGTTACATGTTTGTGCATGCTAAAAACCATTTTGACACTTCTTGTTTGTGCATGTTCTATGAGTTACTGGAGCTATAGGTATATAACCAAGAACCTGATTTAGCTTAAATAACAAAAAGTTAGAGGCTGGTGTCAAATACTGTAGCTACAAGTTGTGGTTACGGTTTTATTTATAATTTTAAGAGAAATTATGTACCATTAAATGAGTTTCATTTTATCTTAGACTTGCACTTACATGTAAATTATCCTATTTTCTTTTAATAGACAATCTGGGTTTTGCCCATTAAGTACATGCTATGGAGAATGCAGAATATAAGTTGTCCAAAATTCTGTAAATGCTCTTATTCCACAGTTGTTTTCTCCTTATAACTTAAATTCAAAACATTTTATATTTTGACTTAAATTCATTCTATTTCTTTTGATGAAAAACCTTGAAAATGCAATACCTGTTGAGAGAAACAACTGTTGGCGTTTTAGGGATATTGCAAAAGAGCGACTGCTGTTATAAACTGTTTTGTTTGTCTGAGTGGATTAAAGGAAAATGTCTATTGCAGTGTCTACATTAATGATTCTAACAGTATTTCTCACTGCTGCTATGAACTGTTGGGAAACTCCAGCTTTGCCTGTAGCTCTTGTTGTAAACTTGAGTGAATAAAAATTAACATTCAATCATCACTCAATTGAGAAAGCCTTTCTCTTAAAATACCTCTTATTAGAATAACTTGAATATTCTAAGATATGTGGCTGATGTACATTATATGTTGCTGGACTGAAATATCTGGTATCAGTGCAGGTTGGTAAAATAGGATTTGTGCATTGTTACTCTTAACACAGACTTCCCTGTGTCTTTGACAGACTATTAGAAATGCCATTCTCTGGTTCAACAGACCTTTCAGTGAAAGGTGTGTTTGTGGAGCTGTATTTTTGTTGCTTATTCCCCAGCTTCATATTCTCCTGTCACAGTTTCAGCATTCAGACTTGTAAGAATGAATTAATGTTTGCAGGTTGTTGGAAATAGCTAGGAGTATGGCTTGGTTTGGTGCTGCTGAATGTGCCTTCAATATGTCAAAATGATTAAGAACCTTACCTCTGTTGAGGCAAAAAAAAGCATCACTTCATTGAAAATATCCTTCCCTGCTACTGCTTTCACCCCCTGCTTCCAGTTCCCCTGGGAATTTAGGCAAAACTAATCTTTCCTTGCACTACCATGTATAAAACATTTGAATATTACTAATGAATTCCATATGTATTTGTCGAAGGTCTAAATGCTATGGAGCTATGTAGAGGCCACTACAAAAGTAAGGCCACTCTAAAAGCAGTATTCTTTTTCTCAGTGTTCTATTTGTAAAAGGAAATGCTTCCTTTGAAATCAGGATGAACAATTCTCCTCATGTTTCCTTGTTAGAAGTTACAATGTTTTCATGCCTTACTGTGCGTAAAACAAGATGGAAATCAAGCTTTGTGCTGTACCTGTTAGAAAAAGAGATGGTCTTCAGAAAAAGGAAGTAAGTTCTGATATTCCATTTTCTGTATGGGTAAAGGGATAGAAATTCTATTACAAAGCTTTTGATTGCTTATGATGCACTAAGAAACTCCTAGTTAAATTTCTTTAACAAGAGGAGAGGTCCCTTGCATTTTCTAGATATTGATTCTGCTTTTAGAATCTGAGAAAGGCCAGGGTTGTTAAAGCTTGACCATGGCATAGTCTGGCATAGCAATGTTAGCAATTCTAAGAACCACTGTAAAATGTGATGCTCAGTATTTATTAAAAGAGCTGGTCAACTCTTGTGGGGAGGAGGAATAAATGGATTGTCTTCCACAGTTTTTTCACAGTTGTCTTCATTTACAGCACCAACAAAGTGAACCTAAATTTGAGAATTCAGTAACTGTCACCTCTTACCTTGCTTGCATGCATGAGAAAGTGATACTTACATATATATTTTGCAGGGATTTTGCAGACAAAATTCCGAGATTCTGTGGATTGAGGATTATTGCTTAATAGAATCAATAAATCTTCAATCCCACTAATGGACAATATTTAAGAAGTTTTAAAGATCTTTCTGTATTTAAGATATTTGAATACTTAATAAAAAGATCATATTTAGCAAATTCTGAAAAGACTGAAGATAACTAGAGGAAAAAATACCAGATTTCCAAAGGTTTTTTTTATGTGATGGTCAGCTGCAGGGAGTTGGATATGATAGTTCTCTTCTCATGGTTCAAGAAATTTGTAATCAAAGAGCAAGAGCTTTCTGTAGTTAAAAATAGAAATGGAATTTAAGGAAAACTAATGTCTTAATTTTTTTAATAGGATTTCTTATATCTAGTGTCTGACATTTGTATTGCTGATAGAGCAAAATATGTGGCGCAGTGTTTATTACAATTAGTTAATGCCTGCTCTGGGGAGTTTTGCCTGATAATACAGATGCCTTTCACTTGAAAAAGGAAGGCTTTAAACTTAACAATATTCAAGCTAAACATGAGGACTTCAGTATGATGAATATGTCTGAACATGCACAGGATTATTGCAATTCAAAATTTTTACAATGTTTGTGAAAATAAGCTGTAACTATTTTTGTACTAGGTGTTGGTAAAGCAGTATAAAGATGACATGGCATGTCCTCATTTGCTTGGAAGCTTTCCCAAACATTTTTGAACAAGCAAAATTTAGTCATGCATTTTTTTCATCAAAATGCCAAGCACTTATGCAAATGTTTCATATTTCTAAAGATCAAGCAAAAGCAATCATCAGTACTTGTCCTGATTGTCAACTTGTGCAGCTCCTGCATCTACAAGAACTGTCAATCCACAAAGATTGCAGAGTCTGTAATTACAGCAAACAAGTATCACCAAATATCCATCTTCTAGGAAATTAAAAAACATTCATGTATTCGTAAACACCTTTTCAAGTGTAGTTTTTGCATCCTTACATACAAGAGAAACATCCAAACATGCTTGTCAACGTTTTTGCAAGCATTTGCTTCATTAAAAATACGTCAAAAAATAAAAAACAATAGTCCTGCTTACACAGCTCAAAAGTTAGCCACATTTTTAATAAATTAGTGTTTGCCATACATTTAGCATTCCTTATTCACCCACAAGTCAAGCAATAATAAAAAAACCTACATCACACTTAAAAATCTCTCTTAAGTAAACAATTTTGTCTGCTTGGAATTCCCATATCTACATTTAGTACAAATCATGGGAATTTGAGGGTTACATAAGTTCTTCTTCATAACTCCTTGGAAAGTTTTTACAAAGCTGGCACTGGATTAAGTTAGTCCCTCTTTAGTATTCTCTAAGAAGCTTCTGGGACTTGGATTTCTTGGGGAAAGATACTTTTTGAACTACTAACATGCAGATTGCATGTTAATCACTTGTAGGAGTAGCTTTGGCTAGTCTCTTCTCTGACAAGTGTGGAAGATGCCTGAGCAGGTGCTGCCCAGCCTAGTGGAACATTGCTTTGGTGCTCAAAGTTTTATAGTACTCTGAAATATTATTGTTTATACCTACCAATTCATGCCAGCATGAGCAAGAGGTAGAGTGCATGATATTGAGTAAAATGTGGAGAAAAGGATGAGGGTAAAAGGAAAGCAAGAATACATTTGTG